TAATTAAAAAAGTAGATCAGAGACATATTTATAGTAATTATACAGGCAAATTTGCCTGCAAATCTCTACCAATTAAGGGATAAGATAATCAAGGTTCATCAAATCCAACAGGACCATTGCGAGGTAAAGAAGACATAGCATTAACTTGTTTCTTTTGTATAGCTTCTACAGAAGTCATTTTAAGAAGTCAAGTTACAGAATTATTAAGTTCTTTAACGATTTTTCACCCAAGCGCTAGATCTTTTAGATATTGGCAATAGCAAATCTGATGCATCTTGTATTTGAAATAGTTTTTCTGCTAAGGTTTGGTTATATCTTTCAACAATACCTATAGTATGTTTAGAATTAGCTTTTTGAATTTTTACACAATGTTTTATCATTAATCTCTCACAATTCTTTCTGAATTCAGAACCCTTATCTGTTAACAATAATTTAGAGTAAATAAGTGAACATGTTGAATTATTATAGATTTTTTTAAATGCCTTAGCAATAGCATTAGAAGTTAAAATATTTTTTATATTAATATCTTCAGCTTTTAACCAGCTTATATCAATATTAGGAATAATACCTCCAATGAAACTAATGCTTTATATCTAGAAGCAATATCTGCTACATTAAGACAAAATATATAGGTTATTTTTCTAATTTTATCATAAGGCATATTGAGAATATCAGCCTGATGACATTCATTAGGAATTTGAATTGTATTAAATGAAACTTGAGAAATATACCTTGGAGGTGGCTTGTGAATTTGAAAAATGGCTTGCTTATTTAACCAATTACATATCTTAGCTAATAAAAAATTATATCCACCCCTTCTACTTGTATCATGCATTTTTTTAGCAATTCAGTAATAACCTTCAGGCTTATAATAAATTTTTTGCAAAGTAATCTCTCTATCCAAATTATGGGCCCTCTGTAAGTTAATATAAATTACAGGTTTCTCTATTACTTTATTAAAGCAAATAAAAATAGAAAAATTACAACAAACTAACCAAGAGCTTTACAAGGTAGTGTTACAATTAGCAAAATCAAATAGAAATTTCAAACAATGTCTATATACCTGAAAAAAGGATATAATATCTTGAAGAAGAGTTAAATAATACTATCTAACTTTCTAGACAAAACAAAAAAGAATTATTAGAAGAAATCTCAAAACTCAAAAGAATCATTCATTAGCTTGAAGAAGAAAATAAAAAGAAAAATAAAAAAATTTCTAATATAGATTAATATTAGAATTTGATGAATATGGAGGTGTGATAACTTAGTATAGTGGTTAAGTCATCACTCTTTCCAAGTGGCAGGTCTAGAGTTCAAATCCACAAACAACGATATTTGAAAAATAGGCTTGTGTTTAGTTGATGGCTATGCTTATTGGTTGGATTTAATTTGTAACTTCGATCACACCATCTAGTAATAGGAGCAATAGCACAATAAATCCGAGAAACCAGCATAACCAAAAACCTATTTGGGAAGTCCTAAGTTAGGAATAGCAGTGATCTTTGATAGTATTACAAGAAGGCTGAATTTGAACCAGGGCCCAAGATCAGAGAACCGAATGACCAGGTTCTAATGGTGGAGGACATACTAGCTGAACTGTCAAGTTGTTGCACCAGAGAAAAAGAACATATGCTCCAAAAGTATGTACCAAGGAGAGGGCGTCCTTCAGGTACCTAAAGTCTAGACAGACCAACCCTTCTGGGTTGCCAGCTGGAAGCAGGGTGAAAAATTCGATATGTGCATGTGTGGATCGCATATGAAATTTTCTTATTTTAATATGAAGAAAGCATGTAATCATATAAGTATGCTCATGCTTCTCAAGCTAAATTTTTTACTCTAGCTGAAAGTAAAGGAGAGACTGATAAAGAATCAACAGTATTTAAAATGCCAGTCTAAAAAATTTTGCAGATCATGTGAAATGATGATTACAGGAATTTCTGATATATATCTATATAGCATAGTTTAAACACAGTTTCAAAAAAGAATACTGTTTAAGCAAGAACAACATTATCCTTTGCTTCACAAAGGATAGTTTATGCTTTCGCTATGGCTAACACCTCTGCTATAGCATTTTTTTTTTACTAAAGCTAAATAAAAAATATTATTAGTTTACCCTAATCCTAACCCTAATCTAACAAGGACTTATAATTAATCTTGTATCATATGATTATATGATCTGTGAAATTTTTTAAACTGGTGTTACTAGTTCAGTATAAAGAATCTGAGTAAGAAGACGGTCCAAATATGGGTATCAGGGTTGTTGTGAATCTAATAAGGGTGAAAGTAGGTAATCATAGAGGTTTAATGGTTAGCCCTGACCTCCAGTACATGGGTAGAGCTGTGGCATAGATTACAAAAGTCTAGATAGATAATGTGTAGAACATGTGATATCTAGTAAAATGGAAATACCCCACCATCCAATGATCTGGAGGCACCTGGTGTCAGGGTAAGCAAGCTTCACGAGATGTGTTGACCAACAGTGAGGTAAATATGACTATATTGGGTCAAAAGGCTTGGTAAGTCTCTTTAGGGGTTGACAGTTAATATTTGGGAACAGTAACACTGCAGGGGGAGAGACCTGGAACATCTGAGGTGGTTGATGACTAATTAGTACTAGTTAGGAAAAGATTACCAATGATATACTGAATATCCATTGTAAAAATAATGTATAGTAATATGCATTCACTTAATAAAGAGGCAGTGTTGTTAAACAAAAAAAAAAAAAAAAAAAGAATTTGATGAACATGAAATAAAATTAAAAAACCGAATACAAGAAATATTAAAATCTGCAAGCAATACCCCTAAAGCACAAGATTATACAACAAGATTAGTAGATGAAAATGTGTGACTTAAACGAGAAATAAATACAATAAGGACTAATCAAATAAATAGAATTAACAAAATAACTCAGCAAAAAAGTTGTATTACTAACCTTCTTTGTCAGAATTTTGCTTTAGTATTATTAAGATATTGAGATAGATTAGAACTTATAAATACATAAGAGGCTTTAATAAAAATAAATCTGATTCTGATGAAAATTCTCCAGACTTGTATAATTCTGATGATAATATGGGTACAATAGCTGAGTTAGCTAATGCTATAAACCGATCCCTAAATGATAGAGCAATATGTAGAACTGTTTTAATAAATCAAATTAAAAGATCAACAAGATCAATTCAACATAAATACACTAACCTACAACAAGATCTGGTAAACGATGATAAGACCAAGGTATGTATAGACAGGAGCGAGCTCAGGTATTGCTTAATCTCAGCAGTTGCGAACTAATGCTCAAAATCAAGTAAACAGAATGTTAGACAATATAACAGGAAAGCGAACCCATATTGGTGTATTACTACAAGAAAAATTTGCTTTATAACTACTGTATCAGCAAAAGGCTCACTATCTACAGCAATGCAGGGGGATAGAGATTTGCTAGAATATAATCGAGATAGATTATATAAATGATATGAGAAGTGAAAAAATAAGACCTATACAGAGTACCAGAATATTTTAAATTTAAATCAACAAATTTTGACACTTCATAATAATGCACCAAATCAAATAAATATGGCTGATGCTAGATATTTACCAGTATTAAAATTAATGGCTCCTGCTTTTGCAAAATTTCTACCTTATACAGGCCAAGAACCGCCTGATGATTACTTGAATAAAGTTATCCAATCATGGGCATATCTTGAAGGGCATATGACAGTTCTTGAGAATGCAAATATAGGAGATTTTGACAATGACGTCAAGTGTAATATTTTAAAATCTATAATGGGTGGCAAATATGTTCCAGTACTAGCAAATAATAGTCTCATAGTAGAAAATTCAGCTATAAATTCTCCAGATACATTATAGGCTTGGATAAGGGCAAAATATTAGTGAGAGACTGTTGGAAATCAGCAATTAGCTATTCAAAGATTGACTCAAGAAAGATATCAACTCTATGATTAGTGTTCCAAATTGTTAAAATTTTACCAACCAATTAGTTGCCAACTATAGTTAGCAACTAACCGGTTATATATATCATGTGATATTTTCAGATATTAGCCAATCAAATCCAAGAGATCATTCCGAATTATCTCAAATAAGTGGAATATCTTGGAATTATATTAATTGAATGATTAGTTGGTTAGTTGTTTAAAAAATTTTGTCAAACAGGTTAACAAAAAGGATCTACATAACTCTTTCCTGTACACATCCGGCAGGAATAGAGTTTTTAACAAAACACAAAATAATTATTTCAGACAAGAAAGAAAACTTTTTCAAATCAATCCCAGCAAGGGCCAAGGCCCTCATACCAAAAAAGTGAAGACTCTTTCAACTAACACTTTCAAGAACAACTCACAAAAAACTCAAAATAACAGATTCGGTTAAGGTCTCTAGTAAAGAAGAAAAAAACAAAAACAACATTTCCTTATCGGAAGTCAAGACTACAATACTTTTGAACTTTTGGAGAACCCCATCAATGCTCTGCAAACAGACAAGAAAAAAAGTTGGGTAGACTTGGTCCAACAGGAAAACCCTTGGGATCTTTCAATCACGTCTCTACAAATAAACAAAGAGAATAAACAAAACATCAAAACAAAACACATGACCGAAAACGATCTAGTGGTCCCAGGCCCTTCATGTAACCAACATGCAAATCAAAGAGCACAATTTTCAGAGAATAACATATACAGACAAGTAGAGACCATTAACTCTACCTATTCTCACAATGACAAGAAACTTCAACCTTCCCCTTCAAGGCAATGGGCAAACTTTTTCCCTAAACTTATGAGAGGACAGGCCATATACTCTATTTTCTCTCTGAGGGATCAAATCAAGTCCAAGAATGATAACGCACTTATTATCGACATATCCCAACTTCTGAGCTTATTCAATGAAATCGTCTCCTCTTTCCATAAGAGTGCAAAGAATATTATTGTAGCAATTAAACAACATCTTAAAAGAGAATCACACTTACAATTAAAAATTGTTTTCACAAGCTTTGGCTTGCTTAAAGACTATGCTACAAATGGAGTAAAAATCTTTAACAAACTTATATGGGTTACATCCCAACAGATGCTCGAAAATTCTTTTTGTCAGTCAAGATTAGAAATATACTATTAGGTAATAGAGATCAGGTTTCAACCCTTATCAAGGAGGCCTTTGAGAATATAGGCAAAATCAACTCCATCAAACCTCTCCTGATTGAAGGAACCCTATATTTAACGACCCAGAATTAGAAAAAAATCTACCACGTTTCACTTATGTAGGGGACAATAAGATTACCACAGAATGGAGAGCAGCTCCCAGCATATATTTTTTCTGTGACCAAGAAGGTCATATTAAGAAGAATTGCAAACAATTTCAAAAATCTCTCACTCTTTGAGACCATTATCACAGATATAAGGAACAAGCCAGAATCACAAGTGACCTTCAAAGTGGTAATATTGGTTCTCTCAATATGGAAATCCCAACCCCAAAACCAACTATTGAGAAAGTCGCAAGGAAAGAAATTCCCTTAGAATTAACAAATAGTTCCCCAAATGAAGGAGAGAAGAAGATTACTATTGCCTCTTTAGAAAGTGCGATTAAAGACTTGGTTGAATCATCAGTAATATCCTCTGCCCCAGAAAGAAAAGATCCTTCTAAAGAAGAAGATGTGACGACAGACAAGAACTCTGACTCTTCAGATTTTGTCTACACGCAATCTCCAGAACTAAACTCCCAAAAGTCCCAGGAACTGATTGTTCCAAGGGATGATCTTACACTAAATAATCTCATTCAAGCTTATAAGAATCAAGGAAAATCCTCTAAGTCCTATAACAATGAACCAATAAAAGCTGCTTTATTCTGGTGTTAAATAAGAAGAAACAAAAAAAGACCGTTAACAACAAAGTTAAACAAGTTCATATAAAAACTACTCCATACAAAAGGGCTAGAGGGGGGCATTCATTCCCACTTAATTAAAATAGTTTTTATGACAGTAAACAAAAAAGTTTACATAGCAACCCTTAATGTAAAAGGGTTGAACAATCAAGAAAAACAACGAAAAACTTTAACTTTACTAAAATCATATAAATTAGACATAATTCTTTTACAAAAAACAAATACAGAAAACCAGAATACAAAGAACTTTCTTAAAAGACAATGGTCATTTGACTCAGTTTAGGCTGATAAAACAGCTATATTAGCTAGCAAAAAAGACATAAAACTTTCAAACCCTCAAATATTCCATGGAGAAAGAGTCATATCAACAAAAATTGCTTATAAGAATCACCTCTTTCAAGTTACCAATGTTTATGCTCCTCCAAATAGTAAGAACAGAAGTGAATTCTTCGAAAGATGGACACCACTTTATGATGAAAAATCAATAAACATTACAGGTCCAAAGCATAAATATCAGATACCCGATAGCTAACGATTGCTAACTATTTGTGCTAAAAATCTGATCTATATTGGCAATATGTCAAAACTAGGGTTGGTATGGACCGGTTAATGGTCAAGCTTGACCAGACCAGTTTGACCAATTTGACCAGTTGGTCAAAGAGTTTAGTATTGGTCAAATTGGCAAAGGGTATTTAAATATATATATAGTATACATATTTATATATATATTTACTTTATATACTAAATTTATTTATTTATTTAATATATTATGCTATTTGACCAATTTGACCAGACCAGTTTGACCAACCAATTTTTGGTTGACTAGTAATTTGACCAACTCTGGTCAAAACATATCAGAAGCATATCAGGTAAAAAATAAATCTGATATTTATTCGATATTTATTTTTTATCCGATATACTTCTGATATTTTTTTGACATATTGCCAATATAGATCAGATTTTTGGCGCAAATAGTTAGCAATCGTTAGCTATCGGGTATCTGATATTTATAGATATTTATGCTTTTGACCTGTGCATATTGGGTGGAAACTTTAACATCAATATAAACCCAGAGACAAACCAAGTTAGTCAAGCATCAGCACAATCAAATACAACACATATACAGCTTAAAAGACTCACTAACAACTTTGTTGACTCAGCATCTTTTGAAGGGAACAACCCTTTTCTGACTTTTTTCCAGAACACACAGAACAACCAAACTATGGCTACCAGATTAGACTATATCTTCATTGATGAAAATTACGTCTCACTAGTAGAAAAAACAGAAACATTATTTGGCAACTTGGATGAGTCCAACATCTTGGAGATTTGACAAACACTGTTTCAAAAATAAACTCATAGAAAAAGAGGTTATAGCAGAAATTCAATCCTTTAATTTAGTAGCAGATTGGGACTGGCACAAAATATGCATTCAATCAATCATAAGAGCTTGCAGAAAGCCCAAAGCCCCAGAAAGCAGTCTGGCTCTTCTAAATAGGAAAATAAACAAATCAAAAGAAAAACTAGTGAGAGATCCAAGTCAAACACATCTATATACAACAGTTAATAACTTAAATTTCCAAATTCAGGATGAACTGTTACAACTAGCAGACAGATGGCAAACACGCTCCAAGGCTAGTTGGGTGAAGCAGGAAGAAAAGTCGATAAGATATTTTTTCTCAAGATATAAGTTCAAAACAAGTTGCTCAGTACTCAAAGATATTAGAGACCATGAAGTCCCACCTAAGTTTGACAATAATCAAATCTTGCAATACATCAAAGAACAATACGCAAAGCTCTACAATGAGGAAAGTATCGATTTAGATGCAGCAACAACTTTGACAAATAACTTTTCTACTATTCTATCCTCAGAAAATGCAGAACTTTCAAGAGAAATTACACAAGAAGAAATAGTTGAGACGATTAGAAAACTTCCAAATAACAAATCTCCTGGACTAGATAGCCTTACATACAAGTTCTATAAACAAACTGAAAACAACATTGTCTCTGTTTTGGAAACAGTCTATAATCATGTCCTTAACTCAGGCCTCTTGCCCAAATCATAGCATAAAAACTTAATTACTCTCATACCAAAAAAATCAACAGATCTAAAGGATATTGACAACTGGAGACTGATCTCTTTGGTAAATTGTGATACCAAGATCTTTATGAAGATTATAGCCACCAGATTAAATAAAATTTGCAGCCTGATAATCCTGGCTTATCAACAGGGTTTCATTTCAGAAAGATCAATAACAGATATAGCATTGGATGTGCTTACAATAATGAGAAATCAGACTGATCTTACCAAGCAACATTGACTTTACTAGTGGACCAACAAAAAGCTTTTGACTACATCAATTATACCTTCCTATAATTAGTTCTTGAGAAAATAAATTTTAACCTGAAATTCAGAAATTTGGTCGAGAACCTCTTTGCTAACCAAGAGGCTCATATATTTAAATC